ACTCTGGAATTTGCCTCCCTCCCTTGTCTGACAGAGCTCACATCTGCTAACCTACAGGACACAGCATAAAGCTCATTTTTTTTCCTCATGCCCTTTGTTTTAAAGTGCTGCCAGTGAAAAATTGCAGGTTGCAGTTTGCTTTCTAAAAGAGTTGTGGGGAAGTAAAATAGTCTTTCCCTTGACTCTCGAAAAGAAAGTAATTGTACAATTGGGTTTGTATATGCACCTGAGGCATAAGGTGGTTTTTTAGAGATAAATAAGAGCCTAAAAGAAGAACCTACAAAGACACCACTGTCTAATTCAGGAAAGGCAAAGAACAGGAGCAGATCTAAAGAAGTTAGCAATTTCCTTATGCTATAAACATTTTCTAAACTTGACTAATTTCCCCCCTAACTTACTATAGGGCAGCATTACTCTTTTATAGATGTGTTTCACAGGATGCACTGTTGTACCTGGTCTTTATAAGGCTGGTAGCAAGAGCACGGCTGTGCTTCTGAGCTTTCTGGTTTTCACACTTGTTCTGCTTCCTAGATAAGCTTGTTTGACTTTTGGGGTTTTTCTTATACTTTATTGTGGTCTGCTAGGTAAGTTATGGGCCTTTTGTTTCAATTGTTTTGTGTTACAAAGGATGAGATCTATCTGGAGCACTGTTGTAGCTGGGTGGCTCCAGGGCCCCAACAGGGAAAGTGTGAAAAGACAAGACCCTGGCTTGTCTGACTGTAACTTTGGGATCGTGCAGAGGCAGAAGCAGGAAGAGCTTCTACTTCTGTTCTTCTAGAAAATAGTTTTATCTTTTCGTAGAGAACGGTAAGGGAATAAATATTTGGTTTTGCATTCAACTAAGTTTTAGAAACTAACTGGGATGGGTCTGATATAAAGCATGTTTAGATTAGAGAGGGCTTTTTCCTGCAACAGGTGGACAAGAGGGTGCATGATACACTTTTAAGCAGAGAAGAAAACCATTTAGTTTCTCGCAGGTGGTAATGCAGTTGATTCTCTGCCTAGATGCCTGCAGTGGGAGGCCTTTTCTGTTCTGTGCATCCTCGTAACCTTACTGTGTAAGGCACATGGGCTACTGGCAGGTAGAAGTGATTAGATGGAGCAGGCATGTGGTGTTCAGGAGCTGTTTTTAGCATCCGAAGTACAATTTCCAGGAAGATGTAGGGTAAGTAGGTGGCAAACGGGACTCAGCCTAGTAAACAGTGTTTAGTGTGAAGTGGATCTGCAGCACACCGAATACAGCACACTGATCCCTAAAGGAATTTTGTACCATAAAGCAAAGTGAGGGCATTAGAGATCAGCAAACACCATTTAGAGTGGGGAGGGACAACGCAGACTCTGGTCACAAAGAACAGGTTGCTAGTCTAGTCTTACCAGCTGCATATAACACGCATATCCTGTGTTTCACAATTACATTTATCGCTTGGTTTGGAAAAAACCCCAAACCTCAAACTCAGAACCCTTTATTCTTTATTAGCGTGGTTGCTACTGATAGGCTAGTTCCTAATTAATATGATGGTACTTTCCCATCCCTCTACCACTCTCCTTATTACAAGTCCTTGGCAATACGAGAGATACATCTATTACTTAGTCATGAGGTAGATAGACCAGCCTGCTTTTGAAACTAAAGACTGTGTACCCCAGGCATACTGTATTTCTAATTTGCATATGGAAAAGGCAGTTAAAAAGCTGATGCCCCCATATTGCTTGCGAGTCAAGTAGCAAAATTAAATGATTTATCAAGGAAAGGTTACAACACCTGTGCCTTTTTGTCAACATATACAGAGGATGCCAAGTCAAGTGTTTCTTCTAATAGCCCAAACAGAAATTGAGATTCAAATAACCCCCCAGATTGGACAATTATGCGGTGAGCAGTGTGATGCATGGGGTAAGCAGAGGCAGTATATGAAAAAACAAACGAACTGAAAAGTTTTGAAGCTGCTAAAACCCAACGAAGCCAACAGCTCTTTTGGGGCTTTTGTTACTGAATCACAACTACTGACTTAAATTGGTTTATTTCCTGGTCTCTTCTGTCATGGACGTGTCCTGCTACAACCTCTGTTAACACAGAAAGACGGCCTTTTCTAAATAAAATATTATAGAAATTCTATAAAATTCCTTTAAGGAATTATATTTGAAGCAATGTGACATAAATCAGAACATGCTGCTAATGGAAATGTCCACTGCTAATTTTTATAATGCCCATTAAGCAAGGCATGTACTGGTTTTGGTTGTTTAAAAACAGCCTAGGACAGAATGATCCTTGCTCAAACTCAGCCGTGCTGTTGTACGTTTGTCTGCGATTTTAGTCCAATGTTCTGCGAAAGCCTGTGAATGCCCATGTATGGGAAATGCGACTTCTGCTGAACGGCACTGTCACATCCCTGTGCACAGACTCACTTTTGCACCATGTTAAGACTAATAACGATGATGCGTAACTGCTGCCTGTAGTCAAATGACCCACCAATTGGAAGAGAAAATCAGAGCCATCAAAAAGCTGACCATAATGTTTTCTTATAGCTTGTAGCTGGAGTGTAATTTTATAAAAGCAGATGTTCAGATACAGTCTTCATTTTTATTTTGTTGTTCCAGCAGTAAAGAGTTGCTTAACCCTTATATTTAAGCTTGACTTTCAGGAGCTCTGAGTGTTCACTGCTTCCTCTTGTCTAAGGGAGCTGTGTGGCCTGGCAGTTAGTGGTCCTCAGGACCCGTGTCTTAGGCTGACTCTGAATGTACTATAAAAATCGTGATGGAAAGCAGCCACCCCAGCTGCTTTTAATAACACAGTTATATGTGTTTTTATATTTTCATTTTGAAAATATCCTAAGTGATCATCCTGTACACTAATGCCCTGCAAAAAGAGTACAAAAGCATGTCTTTGTTTAGAAGAACGCTAAGTAGATCCCAAATCATTGCAGTTAGTATTTTTACCTCACTTCTCTGATTTAAAACACAGTCAACTTCAGAGTTGTTTCATGAATAAGTAGTGAGTTTTGCTGATAAATTATATATTTAGTACCAAGTGGGTTGCGGTGGTGTAATGATATATAGAAGTACAGCAATGCAGTTGGAGTCAGAGACTGGAAGTCAGTCTCCTTACCCACTGCAGCATGTTTGACTTTAATTGAAAGCTGTGCTTGAGTATTGTTTTTCACTGTACAGCATTGTTATTCACTACACTGCATTACATAGAAGCACTTAAAGTAAGGCTAGAGCACTTTAAAATGATTTAAGTCATAAATAAGGAGGATAAAAGTTTACAGTCAACAAACTTATCTGGGAAACCTAGGCTGCAGGATGCGAGTTAAGTTTAAAATATTTTGGAGACTTTAATACTGTTGTGTCTTACTACATAATCAATTTACCAACTAGTAGTTTTTCAAGTCTTCTGGAAAAGTAAGTAGCATTCTCCAAAGGGTTTCAAGTTTCCTGAGCTATGAAGGAAAAGACCAAATGCTTAAGGACTTTAGCAGCACAATTTCACATTCCTGTTTCCCAATTTCAGTGTGTTTCTGTGTATTCCAGTTGCTTCCAAAACGACTGGAGAAATACAATTTAAATGCAAAGGCACATGAAAACTTGTCACGTACATGAACCGAATAAAGAAAGAGGCCTGAAAAGTGGGGTGCATGCTGTGTTTTGTCAAGGCATGAAAAAAAATCAGTACCTGATGGGTTAAAACACCGCTCTGCACTGCTGGTGTACTTTCTATGACCCTATTTAATGCAGAGAAGGTTTGAGATTCGATGTAGTTTAACCTGCGCTGTCGACAGAGCTATAAACTAAAGCCCCTAACAAATTGTACACAAAGAACAGATAGCGAGAAAACACATTGTGTTCACAGGCATCTGGTTGCAGCCCTGTAAACTGAAAATCTTTGGTAATGAGTGACTTGTGTTTCATTGACAGCGTAGGTGCTGAAGCCATTGCAACGAGGAGTTTGTCATCGTGCATATACTGGACTGTGGCATGTGTCAGCCATTAATCTGTACACTAATTATTCAGATGCATATAAAGGATTTGAAAGAACAAAAGCTAAAAGTAGTACTCCCCAATTTGCTAGTTATCTGAATTATTACTTTTTAGTCATCGCAACCAGCTCAAAACAAAATTACAAATCTTTTGCCGTTGACCTTTAAAAGAATTGTAACATAGTCAAGCAATCACTTCAAACTACAAACTACAGTTGTCCTAAAGCACTAGTTCTGCTCACTTTTTTATACCTTCTGCCCCATGATAACGTGATATTAAACACAGACTTAATTTTTTTCAACATCTGGCTCAAATTAGCTGCTAACAAAACTGCCAACAACTATTTTCTTAATCGACCCTGGGAATTTGATACAGCTTGGAAAAAGCACATTTAAACCTCGTCCTTCTCCTAAAGAAACACAAATGTTTACTTGAGCTTCTGATTTGACCATAGCAGGACTATGAATTCAGTTAACCCAGCTTTATAGGCCTGCCTCAACTGGACTTTTTTCTCTCTCTGTAAGGAAACAGATGTGCTCGCAATCGCAAAATCTCCTGCTCGCTTGAAGCCCACCATGCAAACGGCCAACCAGGAATTCAAGTCTATTTTTTTACATGGAAGTCGTTGCAGAAGTCTCCCAGTTGTACCTGGTGGGGGACTAAGGTGCACTGTTACCTGATGGGTCTCTCTGAGCTCCTTTTGGATATGCAATTAAATGCACGGCCCTAGGGGACAGGTTGGAGCAAAAGTCTTTGAAAACTCAGTCCCAGAGGAAAAAACTGCACTAGAAGCCAATATCTTAGAAAGCAAGAGAGATCTTTCCAGTTACAAAAGCAGCGTTATTACTACATAAGCCCAAAAAAACACAACAGACAAACAAACTGCAAGTGACATTTCACTGTAGTTACTGAGACCATGTGGGTGAAGTGACAGCGGCAATGCAGTGCAGCTGGCTCCGCGGGGACACGTTAGAGTACACTGAAGAAGAAGAGGCTGCAGGCATACAGAGAAGTCGAAAGCGGCCCACCTGAGTCTGTTGAGGGATATTTACAAAGCTTGGATCCCGTGGTCCAACACTGACGAATCGGTTTGCGGGGGAGGTGCTGGGTGTCGAGTAGGCTGTGAAGGGAAGGGACACATGCGTTGAGGAAGCGGCACTAGATTGCACACGAACAACACCAAAACACACTGTCTCAGAGCCACCTAAGCAGATGTTTAACATAGAAATGTGCAAACGCTTTAGAGAGCGAGAGTTTGGTTTTAGACACCAGAAAGGTTTGGTCTTAATGATGGGGATATAAACATGTAGGGGACTTGGCTGCTCCTTGCCAGGCAGGACAGCAACAACGTGTGCTCAGGGAGGAGTGTGCTGGTGTCACCTGCGCTGCTCTCCGTCCCAGAGGAGACCCGCTGCAGGCCTTTCCATGCTGGTATAGCATAAGAGACTTCCGTAGGTCCTGCCCATGCATCCCTCACTGTTTTCACTTGAATATGTGGTATCTCTGGTTTTAACGGCGTTTTGTATAGCTGTGAATTTACTGAAGAGCTTATTAACAGAATCAGACCCTTATTTCATGCTAATCCAGCATTCTCTCTCGATATAAAATTTTGGTTTTCATAGTGCTGTGGTCTGCACTCTCTAAAATGTTCACTTGATGTCTTTGACAAACTAGGAAGATCCTTTCGGTAAAAAATTAATGGGTTGCAGTTTCACTGGGGTGGTAAGTGCAATCAGTCTGAAGGCTGAAGCTGCCTTTAAAAACTGGAATGGCTCCCATAAATGTAAAGCTATTAAACGCAATGCAAGCCAAGAACCCAGATTACTTCCAAACTTGAAGTACTCTAATGATTTTATTGTTGCATTATATTCTCCACTGCAACTGTCCACAATGCCATGTACTTCCACATCCAAAAGCTTTCAATGCATTTTCCGTCTTCCTCTCATTTGAAAATCCCCCATGCAATCTTCTCCCTTGTTCAGTTTTTTGCATGTTCAGATGTAAATTCAAATAACCTAAATAGATGCCTTAATACAAACAGTGATTCTGTCTATTTTAAATATATTTATGGGAATGCATTTTGCTGAATAAAATCCCCAGACAATCTAACTATCCAATGAAAAGACAAAAAACAATGCTAAAAGGAAAGTTACTTGCCAAATTCCAGTCAGGCTAAATATAATGTTCAGGCCTCAATGTTACAGAAAAATAAAGTGAGTTAAGAGTCAGAGAAGACACCGAGTTGTGTGTGAAGATAAAAGCCTGTTGCCTTTCTGAAGGCAAAATGATTGGTGAAGAGGCATTACATTGGAGAAGCCTTTGGTTTAGGACTACTGAATCAGACCAATGCCCCACCTTATCCTCTGTCCTTCTTTTACAGAGGCCATAAGCAGATGCACACAGAAGAGTCAGAACCAGTCACATTTACTTTCTCATATTCTTTTCCACCCTCTGATTATTTTCAGCTCAGGGACCCCCTGTATTTAATAGCCCACAAGGGATTTCTCATTGATGAATGCCCAATCTGCCCTTGAACGCATGCAAACATTCTGCACCCCACAAAGCCCTTTGGCAAGGACTTCCCAAGTCTACGAGCATGCAGAACCTCATCCTTCCTGTCACTCTCTACCCAAGTCTCATAAACATCTCATGATGCCTCCTAATTCTTACAATTATACCAGACATCTTCACTTTCTCAAAGAGCATTCCCCTGAGATCAGCTCAGGAACTGCCTATCTTCCTTTTTTACTGATCTGAGGGGAGATAAGGCACTCCTGACTTCTAAGAATGATTTCTTCGCAGTTGTTTCTGGTGAGGTGAACTTTTCTCTCCAAAAAGCTAACACGTTCCTAGTAATTGCAAGAATCATGCAAGGAACACCTTTGCTTCACAAAGATTTCAAGGAATTTTTAAGTGCACTAATTCATCTTTCCGAGATGATTTTGCAAATTGCCGTGCAGCTTGCATATTAGAGTATGAACAGGTACACTGCTTGTTATTCATACCTGCAAATCAAGGAAGAAATGAACTGAGTAAATTTGGGGAGTTGTTCTCCTTGCCTTTTTACCAAGTTAATTTGCTTAATAATTCAAAGAAGCCACAAATTTGCAAAGGGTATATCTCTGTTGCTAGTGCCAAGTATTAAGATTCTTCTGTACTGCTTGGTGAAGTGTTTTTTAACTAACTACTGAACCCTATGTTCTGCAAGACTAAAAAGTCCTTCTGCAGTGGGGAAAATTAACTGAAAGCTCAAAAAACAAACATCTGTTGTTTGGTTCTTCTGGTCTGCTTTTAAGGAAGCAGAATGAGTGGAGAGGCCATTTAATCCCTCAGAGCAGGTAAGTTCCACTCAGAAGGGAAGGAACTCAAGATCTTGTTTACAGTTCCCTGTTGGCAGATACTTTTGCTGTGATATTTGGTAGAAAATCAAAGGAAAATGATCAGAACACTGTCTTAAATGGCTTCTCTCTTCAAACAAAAATTCTAAAGCATTTTAAAACTGTATAATATGCACAACAGCCCCCTCAAACCTTGCTGGGTGAATTACTATGTATACCTTTCTTCTGTAACGCTCCAAACTATGTTTAACTTGCTTTCTGAAAATACCTGGATGTCAGCTTGGTATTTCCTTAAGATCATATAACTACATTGCTACAGCCAAGAAGTGAACAGTACTAAAACTACGTATATGCAGAGCAGGCTTTACACTGGACTGTCTCAAGATGCTAGTCCCACTTCATTGTAAAATGTCACAAGATGTTTGTGGATTGTGAGGGGCCATTTTGGCTGAGAATATTAGGTTGACATGGAATACACATTAGCAGTGACTCCTGTTACTGTGAAATTTGGTTCAGAAAAGGGAGCAGTACCGAGTGTCGCTTGGACCATCACTGACACAGCTTCCAGCCGTATCTTACTGTCTTTATATAAATACCCTTGTTTGACGTGGAGGTGGGATTCCTGGAAGCCTTACCACTTCTGATCCCTATACTCTGTTCTGGATTAGGATGGGGCAAACTGCTTTCACTGGTTAAAGCTGGGACATATTATATTATAGTATACATAGGCTAAGACTATGGTAGGGTCTTCAAACTCCTTTTTAGGAAAGGGAAAAGCCAAAGCATGGAGAGGAACAGAAGCCAGGTCCTTATCTTCATCAGCTTTGCTCCATGGGAATTGCATAGTTCTACACTAGTGTACACTAGCTGATAGCTGGCCTGTTGGGCTTGAATAGAAACATTTTCCTGCCCAGCCTAGTCTTTCTGCTACTGGAATTCACTAAGGATTGTTTGCAACATCATAGCCCATAGCCAAGGAAATGAATGTGATGCCACAAATTTGCTATGATGCTTCACTTCAGGAACAAGCAAAACAGGAGCTGGCAGAGAAAGAACATTTGCTCACACAGACAGCTTTGATATTTAGCCAAAATGGCAAGAAATTGTATGAAAGACAAGACAAACAAACAGTTTTGGGAATGGCATGTATTTTAAAGTTGCCTGCAGTAGGAGAATGTTAATTTAAAATACACTTTCCTGAAATAATTTCTATTAAGTATAGGAGTGTGTGGTTTATCAGACAGTTCTGGATTAAAAGGATAAACTTTTGGTTGGTAAAGATAATTTGAGTGATAACCTAATGTACCACCAGGTATCTCTTTTATAGACCAAGGTGACAGGCACACGTGCTTGATATGAAGAGCTGTACTGTTTCGCAAAGGACTAGGAGTAAGTTTAGTTGTCGTGGAGTTGTAGTGAGAGAATTAACAGGAGGAATGTGGTGCAATACAGCAATTCCTACCGCAACGCATTCTGCAGCTGAGTATCTGAGAGGGAACTGCAAATTCTGACAAATTAAATGATACAGTCATCGCCCTCTTTTTTATGGATGAGGAAAGGAGTGAACAGGAAGCTAAAATGGCTTGTGCAGAGGGTGCTCAGTCAATGCATAGCAAAGAAAGGGAGAGAAATCTGATCTGATTATGAATCCAGTACTATAGCCGCGAGATTATTCTTCTCATCCTGACACAAATGCTGTTTCACATGAAAACTCCTTTGTGCAAAGGGACATTAAACAATAACAATCTTGCCCAACAAGGGAAAATACCTAAGTTTCTCTCCATGTAGAGTTGTGAACCTTAGAAAATAACATTTAGTTTAAAAATGCTCTTTAAAAATCATGACATACAGGACGGCAGTATTTTAGACTCTGCATTGGAGTAAGTGCCACAGATTTTAAAACTCAGATTCAGTTATGATGGTGATAAAGTCCAACTGACATGTAGTGGAGGTGATGTTTTCTTTGGGTAGTGAGATATTAAACCCAGAAACTGCCAAGTTCAAGAAAATATTGGCTTTTATTATGGGTTACCAACTGAACGGAATCGAGAAGAGATCTCAGATAAGATAATTTTGTGTCTGCTTCTGGTATCAAGGATGGGTTCTATTGTAAACGCTTTTTATGGAGGAAAAATGAACCCTCCCAAACCTCATGAATCCTATCTCTATTGTGTCATCTCACTGAGGAAAAGGCTGGCTTTCCAAAGGGATACGAAATTTTCAACTTCCAGAGCATGCCTGGCCACCCAGTAGCAAATCCCTTGTGTGCATCTCTAGGGGCTCTTCCTTCCTTGGACAGCACTAATGTTCATGTTTTGGTTAATGTCACAGCTGGAGAGTTTCAGTATTGCTCTGAGAGTCATTAACCACCTTGTGATTTTTAGCTCTCATTCCCAGGAGGCCATGCTGTATTGAACAGCTGCTCCTGGCTCCTGCACCCCTCAGGAGGGCCATATTCCAATTTTTGGTAGGGCCATAACTGCATTTTGTTTCTGCAGAGGGCTTTCTGCTAGACCAAAAAAGGGAAGGAGAACGGAGCAAATGCCAACCCCTTTCACTCCATTTCCTTGGGGTGAGGGGGGTCTTCATTTTCTTCCAGACAGCTAAGGAGAGAGTCTGGCCAAAATCTAACATCACTCCTGCCTTTGTTGCATAAGTGACTTTCCAATATCCTAAAGATCTGCAGGGCAGTCAGCCATAACCCAGCGACACTCCCAGAACCAGTGCACTCGAGCAGTTCGTAACCATGGAAAACACCTTTTTGTGTGGCTTTTATGAAACTCTGATGAATCTGCACTTGCTATTTGAAGGCTAATATTTAGTTTACGAAAAAATAAACACCGACGAAAATGGAGGGTTGGTACTGATTGACATGCTAAATGGAGTCCAGTGGGGCCTTCTGGTAAACTCTCACTGCGAGGCTAGGAACTAGGTTTCTTTTCCTCTTTGTGCAGTCAGCCACTTCCACTGGCTTTGGTATGTATGTACTGTTTTTTCTTAAAAATGTTCCCTATAATCTACTTTTCTGTAAAATTTGTCCCTAAATTAAATTATATGCTTCTTTACAACTCAAGTCACTACTATTGAAAACCCTTACCAAAAGGAAGATGCATGCCTGACTATGTACGAAACTATATGTTTAGACATCAGCGTAGCTAATTAACAAACAGTAATTATTTTCCTAATCTTTTGTTTAAATACCATTAACTGTCTGCTCTTGAGAAAACCTCAATTCCCAATTAACATGGCAGCTGTCTGCTGAACACTGAGCCACAGTGACCAGCCCGAGCCGATACCGATGGGGGGTGTTCTGCGAACTTCAGCAGACAAATGCCAGTTTTTATGCCAGCTGAGAAACAGGCCAGACAGGCATTCAGCTTGTTTACATGATCACAGTATCATAAAAATTAAGTGTTAAGATTACTGCTAAAATGATGTTGGGAATTTTTTTCTTTTAGGCACCACACACTGCCAGTAAACTGAGTCACAACTGTAATGACAAATATACATTGACCTAGTTTCATTTTTCCCGGTTCTGAAGACAAGGAACTAATAAGGCATTGCTGACTATATTCAGTGATAACTATGACTAAACATTAACCTTTTAGATTCCACTGCTGAATTGTATTGATAGGACTTAAAAGACAGTATCTCCCGTCAGAAAGTGTCAAAACTTCCTGATAGCACAAGTATTGGTCTGAGGTCAGAAAGAGGAGTGGAGGGGAGGGAATGAATCAACTTCTTAGCTCAACAAAAATCTGCTGATCAATTCTAGAAGTCCTGATTCTAGAAGATCATGTTCACAATCTTACCAGACTGTCTCATACTAAAACCCATTTTAATTTTGAAGCGAGCCAGAGCATCTTGCTGAGTTTGCAGTTGTGCACTATCGTGTAGCAGAAGGCAATGCAAAACTCTTGAGAACTACCAGATTTTAAAAATGCCCCCTAGAACCTGTACAAATCTCCTGAACAGTATATAAAGCTTTAAAAATGTAGGTTTCACATGGTCTGAATAGTGAATATCTCTACGCACATCGAGCAGTGGTTGCATATAGCATTTAAATAATAAGCTTGAAAAGCACACAAAAGGATTTGCTCTTTCGATTAGATTGATTTTTGTTTGTGGATGCTATTTGGATTCCCTTCACTGTGGAACAAGTCCCCTACAGTTGCCATTAAAGCACTGAAAGCTTCCCTTTTGTTTTTAAATGTCAGTTTGAGCATAGCTTCATTAAATCATTTCACAATTAACTCCCTGAACATCCAGACTTTTTTAAAGCATCAAACCCAGCTGAATCGCATTTGTTTCCCAGAAGAGTGAGTCCAAAGTGGTATCCCCAAGTGTGTATCCAGGAATTTGTATATTTGACTTGTGGCTACACAAAATACATATGGGAGCCGTGTGGGTGGTGCAGAGAGGATTAAAGCTTTCTCCCTGGGCCTAAGAAATACCATAGCTTCTTGCCCAAAATGCAGGGCTCGGGAATCAAGTCATAAGGGAAAGACGTCTGGGTTAATCTAGGAAGAACTTATTCCCAAAAGAACTGTAAATGAAGTGAACTCGAAAGACTTGTTAGTTTAGCCCAGTATGTATAAGCAGCAATGTTTTCGATGAGCCTATCTGTCTGACTTCCATGCAGTATCTATCCTCTAAAGCCTGACGTGAGATACTAACTTGCCTCCTCATGACAGTAAACAAGATCCCAAAGGTCCGAGGTCTGTGTCACAGCTTAGCCACTGGCCTTGATTTCTCTCCTATGTGGTTACGTGAAATGCCAACAAAGTCAGAAGTAAAACTGTAATCTTAAGTTAACTCTTTTCTTGTTAATATAGAAGCAGCTCAGAATTTTGCCCATCATATACAGAGCGGAGAGATCTCCTACTTCCCGAGAGCTAGTCCAGTCCTCATCTCTGAATAGCCAATAGACGGTGATAGCAGCACGTTGCGTGCTGCTGTTAGCCCTTGGTTCACGCTGTGTCTATACTTACTTGGAGAAGTGGGAGAGGTGGCCCCTCCTTCTGTTGATGTAGTTGGAGGTTTTGTGTCTGGCACTGGCAGAGGCACAGGCCTAGCCATTGGTGGCGGAGGTGGTGGTGGCAACATTGGGGTAGGAAGGAATGGATTGTGCACCTTGCCTTGGCTGCTACCATTGGGCTGCCGAAAAACAAGCAAACAGACAAAAATTATGCTAAAAACCAGCTATTAGGAACCTCCAGTAATAACAATCTAGCTGAAAGCTACGTGCAATACATTTACAATTACTTCAAAGGTGGCAAAGAAAGTGCTGGGTCAAATTCTCCATTGACTTCAAGGAACTTTGTCTCAAACCCTGTGAACCTTGTGAAACTATGGAAATTCTCACTTTTAAACATTTGTCCTATTAGCAGCTGGTCTGAACTGTCCTGGATTAAGTTCCGCTACTCTTTACATTTCCTGCAGCCACTAACACATTCTCAGTGAGAACTGAAGCAGTATTTTTGACCCCTTAAAGCCCCCAGTTTTGTGCCTCTGTTACACCCTTAGGATATCAGTGCCTAGGACTTGAATGTAAATTTCTTAAAGATACTGCTCATTAAGAGAAAAAACAAGCATTTTCGGTGGTCTTAAAAGTCATGCTGGTATCTTATTACAGGAAAATGAATTAGTATATATTAAAGTAACTGCTCTCCCACATCCCTTTTGAGTTAGCAATACTGTAGCTCACAGTTTAGTTGCCATTAGGATCACATGGAGAAATGACTGAACTTAGAACTGCTTCATTTTACACATTAGGAAAAAAAACCACCTCCATTTAGTCTGGGATGTGATCAGTCACAGGCAGAATGGGCCCAGCTATACAGGTGTGGGCTTTCAATTAATCACCAGAAAAACCTGTCCACAAGTAGAAGTGTTTTCAAGTATCACAAAAACAAGAAGCAGGCTTAAAAAAAATGCCACCCTTTCCCCCAACTTGTTAAGTTTATGTTTCAAGTGTAACACAGCCCGGACACTTGAAAACCATACAGATAAATGCCAAATGCCATTACAAAGAGAAAGTAGGACAGCCTGTGAATCAGGTGTTCCATTTTAGTGACAAAAATGATGAGATCACTTTCGACAGCACTCTACAAATTGATCTCACTGCAGTTCTTCTGGCACTGATCATTGGCTTTTCCATTGAAGATAAAAGCTCGGCTTTAAACACAGATCTATATTTTAAGTACTGCTAAAGAAAATAATATTTTAATTCCTGTTAGGGTTTCCATTAGCCTGAATTACTGGGGACAAAATACTGACACTGGCAAACGCTTGGGACTTGATTTTCATTTCACCTGCTTTGGCACTGACAAAAGGCCTTCAAGTCGTATAGGTGCAAATCACACTTGTGCTAGAGCAAAAATGGTTCAGGGCATAAATAAGACTCAAATTCATCTACGTTTAACTTAACAGCACTCCCACTGACTTCAAAGACTGCAGTTACTAGTGTTTGCAGTAAGAAGCAATCCTTCAGGGATATTTATTTTTCCAACATTCCGTACCTTTAATAAACTAATATATTAGTGACATCTCTCAAACACTATCTTGTCTCACAATTAGGTCCCTTTCCTGCCAAGAAGACCCCTGCTGTATGTTCATTGTGAGTGTGCTAACAGTTCATAATGCTGAATGGTTTGGGATAAATTAAGCAAATGAATACTCAAGGAAAACGAAAAGCACTATATTGATTTGTTGTCTAGACATAAATGTATCTGCTAACATATTGCAGACATTATTCAAAGCCAGTACTGGCTGGAGTAAGTAGAGTCGGTTTTTCTGCTAGGGAAAGGAAAGCACTGAGAACAATATAGCTTATTAAATAAGTGCAATAAATTAGACACTAATAATTAAACTAATTCTCATTAACACTTTCAATCGTATGTATGTCAGGAGAGAAACAGTAATTTTGCCAGTTATTACTTCATTGGCTGGAAAAAGTTACATGCATTACGCTTCATGAAATATTCAGAGCATTATTTTAGATTTGATTTACATAAAATTTATAAATTCTGTATTTGACCGGAATGCTATTTCAATAATAGCAAGATGATTCACTTTATTTGATTAAAAAAAATGAAAATGGTTATTTGAAGCTTTGGAACTCTACTTAATTTTTCATAGAGATAAGGGGAAAAGATAACTGCTTACAGAAATAACAAACCATAATAAACTGTACTTTTAACATCTTGAGTTCAAGTACTGGTCAACTTGATCTAAAGTGCTATAAGGCAGTATTATTTTTTTTTTTTTTAATGAACTTAGCTGATCTGAAACATCTGTTTCTCACCCTCCCTTTTCCTGCTCCTTCCCCCCCACTCTCCCCTGAACTTCAAAAATAATTAATAAAAATTAGTCTGCCTTCATATTTTGTTAACCTTAGTTCCACGAGGGTTACAATGCATGCAGCAAAGTCATTTGTGGAGGGACCCAAAAGGTCACTGTATCACCAGCTTCTCTGACAGTTTAAGTTATTTTCACCACAATGTGGTCGAGTGTTTTTTTGGGGAGGTTTTGGGGTTTTTTTTTGGTTTTTTTTTAAAAATATTTTTGCAGCAGCATCATATTTTTTTTTCTTCCAATGACTATTCAAGGTGTGTTCCTGTATGCAACATGCTGTTAAAATAATCCCATAATCCCATGGTTAATTTTACATAGGACAAACACTTCTGAAGAAATAAAAATGGCTTCCTTACATTTAGGAACCCCACCTGTCCAGCCTGCTGACCAGCGTCGGGGCAGACAAGTTGGACAAACTCTTTCAGAGTCTCCTGAGGATGATAGCGGATTGCTGGGTGTGAGAAGTATGGCCCAGGCTGTTGAATAATGGGTGATGTTGGAAAATGAAGAGTCGATGGTGTTGCATGTGGACTTGCTATAGGAAAGAAAACAAAGAAGTTATATAGAGTTTTGCCTTTGGAAAATAAAACAGTTTAATTCTACTGTAGTTTTACTTTTAGTATTTTTTTAAATGTACAGTATTGTTTATGCATCTGATCTTCGCAATTAGTATATTAGACCACATTGTGTCCTACACTTGCTTAATCTAGATCCTGAAAGCAAATGGAGCCAGACATTTTGAAGGATTTTCTATATTTTTAGTGGACAACATATAAAGGAATCAACAGTCCTTTGTGAAAGTGAAAACTATTCATCACCTTAAGAGCAGTCCTCATCAATCAGGCAATAAAAAATGTATTTGGGAGATTAGGGTTGATTTAATTGTCATTTCACATCACTTGGATTTGCACATATGAATCCATTTTATACTGTACTATAAATGGTGGATAATTTAAAGATGGTCTAACACTTCCTGTTGGGTTTGTTTTTTTTTTTTCCACCTCCGTTTAGGAACGTTTATTTTAAGTAATGTGTTTTCATCTAATGAAGATGTGCAAAGTGACAAGATTGTTTTGAAAATTATATTTACATTTCTCCTGAATGTTAGGCTCAAATCTTCAGTGAGCCCCCAGCTTGCATTCATGGATGAAGTTTAATTTGGTGAATTTATGGGCCAACAAGCCAGCTGGAAAATGTACTACAGTGAAAGTGTAAAGGTGTAATGTACACAAGCCCACTGGCAATGACAGATTTTACCCTCAGCTGACTTCAGCAGAACTACAGGTGCAGCAAAAGAGCCTTACACTCTCCTACGTTATGCCACACCTTTGCCCAGTTCCTTGGCCTTCAGGATATATTGGGCTGGACCCTTGTTAGCTAACAGTGCTTTCCACTGTTAGTTGTCACCATGAGGTAGCAACTGCTGCCATTCATAGTGCTATGAATTCTCCCTTTCCCCTCTAAAATGAGAATTCACTCTTCCTTTAGAACGGCCAATTAATCTGTTTGCGCACAAGCTCATCTGTAAATCATAGTTTATTTCAGTCATCATTACATCCCTGTTGCTCCACTGGCATGCTATCCTAGTAAAATTTCAAGAGTGCCCATGTGCATATACTGCACTTGTACACCACACATAACTGATTAGATAAAGGCTATGCAAGGGAGGTAATATCCTACAGAAACTCATGTGTTGGCTTTGAAGTAAGCTAAATATACAAGACAGGAAAAAAAAGCCTTTGACGCTTTTCGAAAAATTGGAGAGATGCAGGAAAGTTAACTAAAATCAAATACAAACGAGCAAACACTCATTTCATGATGAATGTTATGAAAAGTTCTCAGTTAAATAAAAGCTAAAATCTGCTTCTTAGTCTTGTTCATCACCAGTTTAATAATATGACACTTTATTAATAATTTTTTTCTTAAGCATTATTAAACCATTAGCAAACTCAGAGCCTGAAGACATGGATAAAATATGTACTCAGAGACAGCAGCAAGGAAACCCAACCCAAACTATTCTATGATCCTATGATAAAGATGACCCTGCTTACTGCAGGGGTGTTGGACTAGATGACCTTTAAAAGGTGCTTTCCAACCCAAACTATTCTATGATTCTAAACCTACTGCATTATCCTATAAACATATATTAAGGGTTGGCTGGGCAGCACTTCTATGTACTTCTTTCTCCACGAGTGGACAGAAATGACTGCTTTGACACCACCACCAAAAAGAGCTGCACTCATGCCTGGGTTGCTGGTATGGCATAAATATGAAGCTCTCATCTTTGCCATGAAAAGCTCCCCTGTATCCTTGTTAACCCCACAAGTCTTCCCAGGCTGCTTCCCTTAATACTGTTTAAAATATTCACGGACAGAAAGAGCAACGCATACCAAGTGTGTGGTACTAAATGGGAAAACACCACTGAAAGCAAGCATGGAGATGAGAAACTAAAAGGCAGCATGCAGCCTTCAGCTATCTCTGATCAAAGTAGATGGATATCCAGAGAAACTCTTCTGAAAGTATGGGCTATACCTATCTTATAACAGCTAGATATTGTGGCATGCGGGCTGAACTGGAAAACAGCATCTTCCCACAGCTGTGCTAGGTCTGCAATGTTGCACTTAGGAGAAGGAAACAAGAAGCAGCATATCCCACACTTCTTGTTATGGAAATGTTGACAGTTATTCCATGGCCAAGGCAAACACCTGTGTGCCCAGCCTGTTCAACCTGTCCGCACATCTGGGCTTATCTCTTGTTTTTTTACAAACCTAGTTAATTAGTTCTTATTCACTTTTAAAGCAAATAGTTTTGTTCTGAGTTTGCATCTTAAATTATAGTATATTTGAAAACTTTCCAGATAAAGAACTCAAATCTTCAAAGGAAGAAATGAAGGCTATTTTCCTGTCCCCAAACTCCTGGGAGAGGCTCTAACTTTGAAGTGTGCTATCAAAGGTAGAGATAATGTGGGATTCACCTTAGTAAATGTGGATGTCTACCATGGAGCTAATTATCTTAGAATCTAGGGAGAACTAAACAGAACTAATGGTGTCTAAGGGGCCGTTCATCTCATCCAAAAATCAACCACTGCCTTTGACTGGACTTCACTGATCATACTGCCTGGCTCACCAGTGCACGTGAAGGGAGTCCACCAGTACTAGATCCGAGGTAGATACCTCCAGTCTATGCATGCACCTTCAGTTAGGTGAATTCCACCCAAAGTGTCAGCCTCTGATCTCACTTACACCAGCCCCTGAGGTGTAACTCCTTTAATGACACTTACGTCATAGCCACTTTACAGGTATGAACGTATCATCACCTTCTCCAGGAAGCAACAGTCATTTTAGAGCTTGTCAAAATATTTTGCCACTAATATTGGCTCAGCTAAAGTTGGTGGTAAGCATTTTGACGACTACAACAAAATTCTCATTAGCATACAACATTTCTGTTCTTTTTTGATATAAAACATATTCTTCCTCTCTTTTGTCGTATCTCCTTTTACAGTTTCCCCTTTCCTTGTATGCTAAACGGAAGATGAAGGATGAAGATAAAAATGAGAAATGAAAATTTGTGGCAAACATCTAATTAAGCAAAAAATAGATTGGGATTTTTTAAACATTTATATAAAAAAAAATCGTTTTAGCACCAGCTGTTAATACTATTTTAAATTGTTATGCAACTGCACTGTCCTTTGTATACATCTGGGAAAAAATTAATTCCTTTTCTTCGACTGGTTGGAAAGGAGATAGAAATGGTATTTCAATCAACCAAGAAGGAACAAAAAATTGTACCCAGAGATCATGCGGAAATTCAAAGCTAGGCCTGAGACCCCGCTGTATTTAGCCTTTCCAAGGTATGGCTCTTCATTTAAAAATTTGATTTGCTCTATGAAAGACATGTTATGGTTATTAGAAATACTCATAGGCATTTAAGTTGTAGGTCTTTCTTTGTTGCCTTGACTTCCTCAGCACGTCAGGGTAGAAAACAAAATGGAAAGCACTTGTCGGTGATCTTCCCAAAGCAAAAGAGAAGAAAAATGAATGCAGAAATGATCAACAATAATTTGGGAAGGTAAAGTGCCTCAAGAAGGAGAAAGTGGTTCCTCTTCAGAGTCTTGGCCAATTCCTTGGCACAGCCTCGAAGGGCTTTCTGCTGATCATGGGGAAGACTGGGGGAAGGAAACAAGACTGAATAGGCATCAGTCCTCAGTCTGTGCCATATACTGACAGGTAGGGTTCATTTTCTCAGAGCAAATGGATTAGTGTAAGAAGTAACGAATGGAATAAGGATCTCCAGAGAGGCTGTTTTTGCAATCTATGACTGGGAAATACCAAATTTCTCAAGTGGCAAAAGGAAGGGCTATTTGATAAGAGGAAGATCAACATTGCAAGTGTGCCTGCCTTATACTGAAAAGAGGGAATTATATGCTAAAGTCTAAAAACTGCTGGCCCAGATATAGAACCCATTGCTCCAATAGCTGTGTTGTGGTCACCAACTCTGGAGTATGCAAAAATGGCCTTTCAAACAAGTACTGAGTGCAGAACACAACCCTGTTTCCAAATATATGGATCCTCACAAACATTTTTAATCAGTTAAAGGATGTGAGGTAGTGGAGCGGGTTGCTGTTTTGCCTCTCAAAGTCGCAAGTGATCCTGGACAAGCCCCTTCAGTCATGATTTTCAGAAACGCTTAATAAAAATTATAAAGTCATTGCTTCCAAAAACCACGCCTAGAGTGATGCAAATTTTCCTATGAGAAAGGTCTATTACTACTTATGTGCTTCTGATGGGATATTAACAAGTCTCAATCAGTGACTGTAAATTCCTTGAGAACTTCAAATGGAAGATAAAATAGGTCTTTGTCTATTATTTATTTACTTATTGACTTATCATTTATGGATCCCTAAGCAGCTCCATCCTGCCAAACCATATTTCTCTTGGCATCTTTCAGCCTGTGACAGTTATATTTTATTACTGACCTCACTAAATGACATAAAATATAAGTTCTACAACCTATGAAAATATGCGTATTTCAGATCAGAACTTCATTTCTACCTGCTGTAGGTATGGAGGAGTTCGACTATCTGGCATTATTAAATCTGTTATTTGTGTGTGTGGGTTGGAGGCAGGAATTATCCTTCCATCTCAAGGCAAGCATAAATATTTCAAAGCACACATGATTCTAATTCCACTGAAGCTCATCTGAAACATCCCAGACTTTTTATTGAAAACGAGATGATAATGTATGGTGGCCTCCAACAGATACACCAGTATTTTAAAACTACTGCTATTGGGCCAAGCAATTATGCAGTACAGCTGTTGCCTGCTATACTGGATTCTTTAGTGGTTTATGAGTTCGTGGTGCTGTGCAGCACAGAAGTAAGAGGATTTTTCAGAACACTGAATTCAAACATCTGATTATGCAGGCCTGTCTTGTCTTTTCCCTTCTTGACTTGTAGTAGCCAATAACAAACTAAGTAACCAATAAAATAAGTTGCATTCCTTGATTAGGTTAGCACTTCACATGTCTAAGGCAAAT